AAAAAGACAAGCTAAGTTTTGCTTGCAGATCACAGCCATTTTAATTTCAAATACAATTGTAACTACACAGAATCATAAACATGCCAATCGATACTGAGGGATAACTGTGCTGTGCTCTACATGTTTTGTTCTCTATGGTAAACAAAGCACAGGTGGAGATAGGAGAGCAGAGAGAGGAGCAGGAAGAGGCAGGACTGTGTTTGTGTATGTGTGTGTGTCTGAAAAGCCAAGGAAGATATTAACTATGCTAACAAGGGCAGCCATAAACTGCAGGCACACTGTCTAACTGAAGTACACAAGAAGAAGGTACAGGTCATAGCATCAACACACCGTGTAGCCAGCACCTTTCTTTCAAGCAGAGAGACAGCATCAACAAGCCAGGGTCTTGCAAGCCAGGGACCAGAAATAATCAGGCAGCAGTGCCAGGCAAAGATCCCTGTATCAGCTGTGAACCGCATAGCAAACGCAGAGGTAGGTGTAGTTCCAGTTCAGGTTACTGGCAGCATCATCACCTAAACATGGAGTACATTAGATTTACATTTATTACATAACTTGCTTATTTGCCACATAGTTTTAACAACAGTAAAAAGCTAGAAGCATGTTGAGCTGTGGGGTGACTTTATGGAACAAGTTGGATTTGGCTCCAGTAATTGTAGAGCTCGCCTAGACACTTGCTGTGGACACAGTGAGTCTGCAGTGAATGAAGCTGTCAACAGCGGTGGCATCATATAAGATGATCAATTGTCTAGGTATTTGTTTTTCTCTCTTTATTATTGTTTTAGCACATCAAAGGAGCCAGCTGCCAATATTCACTTTATGTTGTACTTCTTAGATTATGCATGTAATGACAACTAAATCTGTCTGACTTTGTGTAGGGCAGACATACTCTAAAGGACTTTCTCCAACCAAAACAACAACAAATACATTGGTCTCAAATGTTACTCTATCCATCAAAATCCTTCCATTTTTGCTTGAGTGTGTGCCCTGTAAAAATGTTGCATGGCACATAAAACTTTTGATTTTAAAGGTCCTCTCCATGCTTGTCTGCTACTTTTTGTCCTTAGAGGCTGTGAAGGTGACTGCTGCCACTTTGGAGAGGGTGCTCTGCAAGTTCTTTAAGCAAAATAATATCCCTTGGAAAAATCTTGTGAGCATGCTGATGGATTTATGTTCCATCATGAGGGGCAGCAAGACCGATCTTGAGACAAGGATTCACCAGTGCTGGCCAACCCTGCAGGACATTGATAGAGACTCTCGTCACTATGTCCACAATGCAGCAAAGAAGTCTGCAGAGCCCTTTGACCACTACCTGGAGCAGCTGTTCAGTGATCTCCAAGTAGACCATCAGTGGTGTCCAGACCAGGTTGTGACGACCCTACCGCTTGCCTGTTTGCTGCTTGTCTGTTTGCTTGTTCACAGGAGCCAGTGGGTGTGGTTGACTTAGTTGCACATTTAGAACACCTGGGCCCATCGATATTGGCAGGCTCGTCAGTGTCTTCAGGGGGGAGCTAGGAGTGAGGCTGGGGGTGCCTGCTTCCCTTCATAACCACTCCTCAGTTTGGTTATATTTTGTTAGGTTGCTTCTGCAGAATTTCATTCACTTTAATGTAGCTGCCTAATTCAATTGTTTGTTGTAATAAATGTACTTCTTGGTTGTCTAACTACTCCTGTTATTTGTTAATGGCTTAGAACCTGCGTGACGAGGTAAACAAGTGCCAAGTAGCTACAGCACTTTAGTGCCCTCTCGAGGGCACTCAGAATAGTGCACTCCACCTGTGTGAAGTTGGTATGACCTGAAGTATTGAGCTCGACAGCTGGCCCCACTGTACCTGTTGTCCCATGGTAAAACTATGGATTGTGTTAAATGTCTGTTTCTTTCAAAAAAAAATTCATAATCCGTCTCTTGTAAGGTGATGTTCCTCAGGGAAGTGTGTCTCATCTTCAATGTCCCCACCTCTAGCCCTTAAAGGGACTTTGCACACTACCGTTGGCTATCTGTGTATGATGCCGGAATGGCGACCCAATGCCATGATACCAACATACAAGGTCCTCTAATTTGGTTACCTCTCCACCGCAGACACCAAGCTGTACAGAGAGTCTATGAAACTGATTTACACAAATTTAGGTGGCAAGAGCCAGAATCAGGAAGATTCATGAGTAACTCAACCGGAAAAGTGATAAAACTTAATGTTACAATCCCTTACAATAATAAACACTTTAAGTCGCAATGAAGCTACTAATGATGAGGACCATTTGCCGTATTTACACTAAAATTAATTCATATTTTATACAACTCTATTTTGATGCCACTTCATGCACCCTAGGCACTTTGTTTTCATCATAATTATCACAAAAACGTTTTTAAACATGTCTCAAATTTGCTTCACAATCTCAACGAGCCTCCAATTAACATTTGCTGACTAAAGTAAGGATTTTTGCTGTAGCTATCATCAGTTTTTTGATAAAAATATTATTTGAACAGGTGCTCCTCCACTGAACATTACACTAAAACCCGCTCCAATTAACATAATTTACCACAATCTGCCTCGTATCAAACACAGCGTGATTCAGGCTGTTCAAAGCTTGGTTGATCAGTGTGCATGGGGAAGAAAATACTAGCACATGTTTTTGCTTTGTTTCTTTATAGGTTGAATATTACTTCCTCAAATACATAGTATTTCTTTACAAATATTGTAAGAAAATCAGAACACAGTTAACAGACGTCTTTCCATTTAATAAATATGATTATAAATGCATAAAACAATTACACACAGCACAGTTGAGGTCAAACAAAAACACTGCAACACCTTACCGTCTGTTCTTATACAAAAGCTGTACAGTAATAAAACTCTTTTTTTTTAATATCATTATTGTCATTTCTCTACAAAAATAATAATCTTGCTAATTTCGCAGGGAGATGAAGAGAAAGAGAGAGGGAAGATTGTGTAGCTCGAAGCAAGTCTACAACCTCACACTGTTTCCAAACACCCCCAGGTGCTTTCAGACCGCAGCTCATCCTATCTGGTGGCCACAGATCTCTTGAACTGTCTGTTTGACCTGTCCTAAATCTCAAAGGAAGGAGGTACTTTCATCATGACCGACCTGCGGATCTTGCCTGGCCAGAGTCATTTCCTGTATCCTGCAAAACGACTGGGATTAGCACTCAAGATAAAACTGTCAGTCTCCCTCCACAGGCTCTTGAAATCAGTCAGATCACTATTTTCTTAAATGTGAATTCAGTCTACCCAATATATACATCTTACATCACAGATCCCAAAACTAGAAAATAAATCATCTAATCTCCTTAAGCATATGAATCAAATTATTTTTGTATTGCTACATTCCTAGATGTTCCTTGTTTTATGATAACCCAACTTAAAGTTACTCTATCAGACCATGCAACCAGACACCATAAAACCCCTCATAGCTGTCTTGCAACCTCAGATGCAGCAGCTGGAAGATGAAGATGGACACCGAACTGTTACCAAAATCGTCAGAGCATGCAGCTTGGAAATGTAAACTCTTTGCTCTAAATAGAGTCAACACAGCTTGTTTGGGAATAATGGAAATCTGACTGCCTTGACTTGAGTTAGAGATGAAAACATTTGTGAGCTGAACGACTTGGAAAATTGATAGAGGTACCAGTGTGTGTGAAAGCCTTCTTGCACACAAGATCCCAACCAGTAGAGTGACCATATTCTCAATCCCCAAATAGGGGACACTACTACGCATAGCAAATGTTGAGGGTTTTTCTGGATGGCTTGAGTGTTTGTTATTCACTTCTAACTCAGTTAGTCCACACTACACAAACTCAAAACTTCCATACAAAACCCTGGACATTTGAAGGATTTTATGAAACCCTGGACAAGGCCAGACAACCCCCAAACAAGAGGACATGTCCTGGTAAAAGAGGACTTATGGTCACCCTACTGACTAGTTTACTTGTCCTGTCTTGTCCTTGCTCCCTGGTATGAATAGCAACTCAACAAAATGGAGCTAAGTGTTCATCAACTGCTTTAGGGGGAATTCTTTATTTTTCAACCAACAAATCCAGAGAATGAAATGGGATGGTTAGAAAGACCCATACTGTCTCCAACCATCATTGAAACCAAGCCAAAAACTACTTGATAGCATGCGCTGGCTAGCATGTCTACAGGATTGTTTTGCCTCCTCCTAAAATATAAAAACATGTCATTTGCTAACACTAATAGGGTTTATACTTTGTTGTTTAAGGTTTGTGGCAAGGCCTGAATCCCTTGGTACATTAACCTTGAAAGCAAACCCCTACTTTTTTCAATGTCCCACAGACAAAACTTCAGGTATTGTCTGTTTGTATCAATAATCCAAAAGGCTTATGCCAAATTTGTTTGTGTTTATCTTCCTCAGCAGACCTTTCAGTGGATGAAAAGGTTGTTGTCGTAGCTTTTTCTTTGGGTTGGGTTTTACTTTTGGTTGATCATTTTGGTCACTTCCTTTAAACTAAACCTCTTATATTATTCCACCTTTGTCAAGACACACTTTCTTTGATTTCCAAAGGATTTCGATAAGACTTTTTTTCTCACTGTAAGTGCCCTGTGGCAAACCTAATGTGATTTGGCACAGAGTTTTGAGCAACTGTACCATTACATTCTTTAAATGATGCAGTGCCTTGGGGAAATAAGTTAGCATGTGCAGCATTTGAGTATCTTTTGATTACTCTTCTGTAGAGTCAAAAGTTTCACTCTGTTAATTGTGTTTCTTGTTGTATTTTCTTTGCTGTAAGAACTGAAAGAAAACTTTTCTAAACTGGCTAAAACAAACCCACTCTGTGTTTCAACATCTTCCCAAACTTAAAAGGCCAAACGCATCTGGTAAAGTTGCCCCCTTGAGCTTGAAAGGCATCAATCAGATATTTACATCTGTCAGATTTCACAGGCAAAGTACTACAGGGCCTGACACTTCTCTGAACACGCTAACCATCCGTGTAGCCTCGCAGCCTCTGCGCTCTAGTTCTTCTGCTCCTACAGCCTGGCATAATGAGCCGGGATGAGAATGGGTGCTACCAAAGAGCGGGTCAGGACATTAGCCTGAATGTGTCGCCAACCTTTGCCAGCCGTGAGCTTGACTGGCCACATTAAGCATTCAAGAAGTCGACCTCTTTTTATTCTGTCCAACAGGATGCTCTTAATGCTGCACGACCCCAAAAAGCACTCTTCCGTCTCTCTTAACCTCTCTCTTCCTCGCTGTCTTGCTCTTTGGATTCTCCCACAAAGAAGCTGCATCTCATTCAAGCTGGCACTTTCAATCCAAGCCTTGATTATCTGCCTCCGGTTGGGAGCTGTGACTGGGGCGTAGCCGACTTTGAACTTTGCTTTTCTTGGTGGGACTTTCCTCTGGTCATCGTTGGTTTCTTCTTTGAGTCCAAAAAGGTGTAAGGTCTGGTGATACTTGAAAACCAATTTCTGCGAGGGGGTGTAGTGTAACACCCGAGCCATCAAGTGTCTTTTTATCTGTAGCACAAAACATTTATAAACTGGTATGTTTCATAAATAGTACCAGAAGCGTTCGATTAACAGCAAAGGTTAAATGAATTCAGAAACCCTGTATTTCTGTTAATAAATTAAAATCAGAAAAAAAGAAATACTTTAGTAGAAAATGTGTATTGTGCCATAAATCAGCTTTCCAACAGACAATGGACCAAAAGCTTTGAAGTACCCTATTGATATTTGAACAGAACATCTGTTTAGTCTGACATTTGTTATTAAAATACACAAATTTATAACATAGACATTCATGATTTACAAAATAAATGTGTAATTCACTTCAATAACATACTTCATAAAAGTATATTCATATGAATAAATAATACACTACTGCTGTCAGCTTCGTACAACAGCAAACCAATCTTCGAATGAAAGCAAACCAAAACACTGGTTATTTTATTTTTTACCCTCTTGAGCTCATGCTTACGGTCCCTCTTTAAGTTGTAGCTGACTTCTATAAATAAATGGAACTTTAAAATGTTGATTCATCAGACGTACAGTATGTTAAAAGAAAAATATTGTATGTTAAAACCTGTACACAGTTTCTTCTGGTTTGAACAGAGCACAGTATGTGTCAGCAGGGTCCAACATGCACAGGTATAAAGCTCAAAACCATTGTGTCCCAAATGGTAAAAATATCCATGATGCAGCTGGAATGATAATCCAGTCCAGAGTTTAGGCAATGTATGTGGGGAGTTCTGTGGAGAATTTCACATGTACATGAGGTTTCATACATCCTGAGGGAAAAGAAAAAGAAAGAAACAATGTTTAGACAGTGTTTAGATCATTTGTCCTGTAGCTTAAAAAAGAAAACAGTGCTCAAGAAGATTATACTTAAGTGATTCACTGATGTATAAAATCGGAGTAGGAGGAATATTTGTATAATCTTATATGCACACACATAGTGGTTTATGCTGTTGTCTCACAGCTAGAAGGTCCATGTGTGGGCTTTCTCCGTGTACTCCAGCCTCCTCCAGTCATCCATGTGTTCTTAGATTAACCAATTCATCTAAATTTCTCTTAGGTGAAGACATGTGTGTATCTGGTTGTCTACATGTCAGGTTTCTGATAGGCTGGAGATCTGTCCTCCCGCCCAATGACCACCAGGATAGGCCCAAGCTTTCGAGCTCTTCCCTATGCTTTGGATGTCACTATTAGACTCTTACCATGTTCTGTGGATGTGTTCATCACATTTTAATAGTATTTTTAAGCTGTAACTTCAAGTGTCTTAGGGGACTGCAAAGAATTTGCCTATACAGCCATGGCCTGAAGAGATACCTTACAAGAAATGTTTGAATGATGATTGACATAACCCAAAGCAACTGTTTGTTTTGGATCAGCACAAACTAAAATGTTGATGTGGAAGATTGATACCTGAACGATATAAGACTGCTGTGACCTCTGGGTTTACAATGATGAGCAGATGACTCAGTTAAGTTTACTTCTGTGCTCATGAGACTGAATCCACCGCTTTTACAAAAGACTGGAGACAACTGTGTTTCACTGCTCATGACTTAAACTTCCATTTTCAAGATGGAGAATGCTTCTTCTCTCAAGATTCCTATGAGTCCTACTTTTTAAGAAACTATGACTCTGGTGACAGCTAACTGTGATGATGCCTTACCCCCAAAAAACAAGCATTATTACTGCACAAAACATGATTGAACAGGTGGGGAATGGAGATTATTCATAAATGGTTTGATGGATGAATGAAGAATGATATCAACCCACATGAACATCTGTTGGTAATATTTGTAGGACTCTCAGTATAACTTTAATGTTCCTTCATCAGTTGATCAAAAAGATGTTACTGAGAGGAAAAATGTGTTAGTAGCAACAGTAAAATTGTTTTACTTTTCGCCTTATTCTCTTTGTTTAGATCTTCCCCTCGGCCTGACCGGACCATTTCACTTCTGAGAAACAAATGACAGAGAGCAGATGATGAGACTCACGAAACAACACACACAGTGGTATGAAATGAACAATGGCGAAATCAAAATGAAAATGGTGACCACAGAAAAGCGTGAGAAACCTGAGGGGATATTCACCGATGGGCCGCGAGTTATACTCTGTGTCCAGAATCTCCAAAGAATGCACCAAGTCCCGCTGTGAGGTGGGCGTGGCCTCTGTTGGATTAGCTGGACTCATCATTTCTTGTTCTTTTTCGTTCTGCATCTGCGCATAGACGTTGAGGCCTGGGATCTTCCTTGAGGAAAGACTTACAGTTAGGCAGAGGTTTAAAGAAAACAGCCTAACTAAAACAAAAGGAGCAAGGTCTGAAAATAAGCGGCATGCTATGTATTAAATCTACCGTGAGATACTTTTCTTATTCATCCAACTTCCTTTTACTATTGACACACCTTTAAAATTACTGTTTAAAGGTGTGTCAATATAATAAGTGTCCATTTGCAAATCCCAAATATATATTGACCGATATAAAGTCATTGAAGATGCCAGTCTGAGGTGTGATACGAAAAATGATAGTTGAAGTTGAATAAATCAACCCTTTTTTTAATCAAAATACTGTTAGTTATACCCTTTGTTGGATGAAGACAATTATAACCAATAAAAACAACCATGAAAAAGTTTAGAGTTAAAGAGTTAAAGTCGATCCTGTTGGGGCTGCTGTTGAAAATGTACTATCTTCTTATAATCTTCAGATCTAACAGGTCAGCAATTTGAAACAAGTGACAAACCAAAAGCGGTTTCAGGTTGCATGATCCAAAAATTTTTTAAAAATGCTGACTCATCTCTACCATGTAATGTGTTCATACAGAGCAGAGAATTTGTAAAAGATGTTAAAACTTCTTGTCAGTATGTGGTGCCAGTGTGCGACAGACTGACTTGTATTGCAGATGTTGGTGCAATAATGAAGGCATACAGGGTGTATTAACAGCCAGCTTACATGGTCAGATGGATCACAAGCAACTGGAGCAGGGGCAAACAGTCTTTGTAGATTTCAAGCAACCCACAAATCTTTAAGGTTATATGTGTTTTGGGTTTAATCATTCTGTTCCTTTTGAACAGAATTACAGGATTAAATGTTAGTATATTGTTCACAGATTATAAATTAAAGAAATGTAAGTTAAAGACATGTAAATTACTTTTATTTGTGTACACCCCCCATGGATGAAGAAGAAGCTTCTTGCTGATTTCAGCATACTTGCACTGATTAAAATTCAGTTTCAAGAAATATTGCCAATAATCATTATTTTTTGTTATGGCGATCATGAAGAGGCATCAGCACAAGAGTGAGACTATGTCCACGCAGTATACCCTGTCAAACATAGTTTTTCACAGTAATTTCATCTGGACTCTAACCAGGACTCTTTATTGCTCACCTGTAGATGACACCATAAATCGCTCTAGTGTATTATCCAAGTTAACATAAATTGTAATTAAGTGTGTAAATATAAAGTTTAATTCTGTCTCTGCTAGTCTGTAGATCTTATAACCTTTATACCCTTTTTCTCTGAGAACTCCACCTCACTGAGGAGACGCAGTTTAACATTTGATAAAAGGTCAACCGCCTGCGTTCAGAGTACTTCGTATTGATAGCTGCTGACAGCTGACTGACATTTCTTTTGCAAAGAATGGCCTGAAAAAAATAAATAATTTCCTCTAGATTCTTACAGACATACAAGGAAGGAGCTAACTCACCATCGAGTGGTTCTGGGGTTTGTACAGTGTTTGACAGGCAGCTATCAACCTTCTGTACGGCCTTGCAGACAGTTTTTGTTTACCGAGCTGTCTGGGTGTCCTGACACCTTTTCAACACCTCGCTATCATGCACAGTGTGAAGTCTTTATAGACACGACATTTTATGAACACTTTACCTCTTGAATTTGTAGATGACAAATACAGCTAAACCCACAACCACTACTGATAGCAGCATTAGCATGGCAGAGCCACTGTGGTTCTCGCTGGTGTCCACTAGGGGCGCTGCAGACACAGGAAGACAGAAGCCACAGGGGATAAGCAGCACATCAACCAACACACGCTGTATTTGCATCCAAATGAGTCATGCAATGAGCAGTCAAGAAAAGGTGAAACCTATGCAAATCATAGATGAATCATTTTAATATGTGGACTTCTCTTACTCTTTATCTTATAAGCCCCTTTAGGACAGGAGCAGCATCCCCAATAGGAAGAGGCACACATACTTGTAACGATGCTCACTCTCTGAATGTCCCTGTGTAGCTACATGGTGGGAGCCAATCAAACACAGGGGTGGTTATTAGTTGAAGGGGGCACCAAAGATAATAAAAATATACCTGACTGTCTAGTGTATCTAGGTCTCCTGATAGTCTATCTGCTTAATGTTCTCTCCCAGAGCCTAAACACACATGTGCAGCTGTGTTTGTTTACCTGCTGATAGGTGTGCTGCATAAACGGTGACTTGGACCCCTGGCCGCAACGTAAACTGCACAAGGTTTTGGTTAAGGGCGCTGAGCAAAACCTCAGAGAGCTGTCAGAAAGAGAGACAACATACATTAGAAAATACAACAACAAAAAAATCAGTCAGCACCACTTTCATTAGAGACAATCATTTGTCTAATAAGATATTAGACATCTGATTGGATAAGTTGTATTTGGTGGTATGGCTCTGTTTTGAAGGCCTCCTGCCCTTCCACTTGTGTATGTGAAACAAAAAAGCCTCAGGTGGGGAGAGCAACATCCCCTTTGTCATATGTGAAAAAAAAGGCAGAGAAGGCAGAATCAAGGACTCCAAGGGTAAAGAATGAAGCAGTACATACCAAATAGATAATCATGACATGAGAATCAGACATGCGGTGTGTCACAAAGCAGTTCGCAGAGGATGCAGTAAGAGAAGGCAGGCTGAAGCAAGGCCAATTTTGTCATCTGCTAGGATAAGCTGACACAGGCTGGTTTTTGGATCAGCTGATGTACTGTGGGCTGAGTTTGATTAAAGCTGTGTTTGACTTCTTTAG